ATGAAGTTATGGGCTACTAATGAAGTTAGGGCTAAATCCAAGTTCTGCAAGTTCTGGTAGGCAGACCCCAAGTTCTGGTAGGCAGACCCGCCTTATTGTCTAGTGCTAAAGTTTTGTCAACATTTAATAATTTTTATGTTAATTCGGTTCTTGTTTTTCCTTGAAATAGGTACTTCTTGAGAAAATTGAAGAAAGTGAAGAAAAGCAACGGCCAAGTTCTGGCTATTAACGAGGTCCGTTTTTGTCTGATGTTCTCTGTTTAATTGTCAAATTGAAATACTAAGTTTATTTGTACAATTGACGAACTTATTTTACTTCTTGTTGTTGTATGGTAAGCTTTATGTTTTTGTAATGATATGATTCAATAGAAGTTCATTAATGTTTTAAATTAAGAAGTGGAGTATGCTTACTTTTAATATTACCTTAAAAACTATATCAATTGCTTTCCCTTTGCTCATTTTTTTTTTGTTTTTTTAATAATATAGTTTTATGATTTTGTTTACCCTTTTGGTAATACGCCTGAGTTGGGGATCACTTATTACATGTTGATTGGATTTCTTAATTTAATTTAGTTGTTGGCTGAACTAAAACCATTATAGCAGTTATTCTAATTTGAGAGATTACAGACTCGTAAGATTATTTCCATCCCACGCTCAAAATTTTGTCACATTTTTCTAGGAAGTCTTACATACATATCACTCAATTCTTATGTATTTACATGTCTAACATCTAAACTGTATTTACATATCTAACATCTAAACTTCAGTTTTTACCTACACCCCCCCTTATCTATGCATAAGGTTTATTTGGCATTATTAAATTTAAAATGAAGATATTTTTAATGCGATATAAAAGATTTGGGTGGTATAATTAAAAAAAAAAACAAAATTTAGGGTTAGATTTGGAAATACATAGGAATTAGGTAATATGTATGTAAATTTTCTTTTTTTTTTCAAGTAATTCTTGTTTCATTCGTTGTTTTAAAAATTCTATTTGATGCTTACTTCCTCTTGCTTCTATATATCACTACTAGTGTGAACCTGCTATGCTCTTTATAAATGTTCATTTTTTTTCTCTTACAAATGAGTTAACCTCAGTAGTTTTTTTTAATAAATTTTATTGCAGTCAAATATATATAGAAACAACTACAAAAATCATATTTTGGAAATAACGAGGTTGAGAGCAAAGCTTAATAAATTGAATTTACAAGAAATACATATGCTATGGCTAGATGGATACACTAGGAGATCAAGCAATAGCCCAAAAAGGGAACAAATTTAGTGATTTAAAAGACTTTTTATAATTGATCATTTTTGTTTTCTTACAAATGAGTTGAACCAAAGTAGTTTAACAACTTAGTAGTAGTAATTCAATTTTTCCCAAAATAGTAATTTCTATCATATAATAACAAAATATCCATCATTTAACAACTACGAGCTGCCATAAGAGCAGATAAAAATCACAAAACCAATAACACCTGATGGAACAATCTTAGAAGGCAATCATGCATACAATGTAAACTATAGAGGCATTGGAACCATAAAAAGAATTGAAGATGAACAACGTTAAAAAAAGAAACTAACGAAAAGCTGCGAAGAAAGAGGTCTTATTAGATCATCCAAAGGAACAAACAAAATCAGCTAATGCTTTAATATCTAATTCAAGGTTATTGGCTTTTTTCTTAGGATTGCATTATATTGTTGTGTTCGATGTACACTTCATGCGTGATCTTTTAACAATAAGTTGTTTATTTGAGTTATGACTTATTATTTCTCTCCATACAATGGTTAAATAAGATAATGAAAATTCTTAGAAGATATAATTTCTTGTTACAGATATAGATTGGTTGGCTAAATGAATTCAATTAATAGATTTGGCAAGCTCTAGCATTCTCACAAATTGTATAATTTGTGCTTTCAGTTAAGAGAGCCAATGACCTAGCCTACCAAAGGGAAGAAAAGTGCACTTGATGTCAAGGATCTCACATGTAAATGGTGTTATGGTTAGACTTAGCAAAGCATATTTTTATCTTGTTGAATTTGGATGCAAGCTTAAGAATAATGTAAAAATTTCCCTAAGAATTCCTAAGAATTTATGAAGGGTGAAGGGTATCCAATGACTTTAGGTTTGGATTTACCAAAAATAAGCAAATCTTGAGAGGATTGATGTAAGCATCTTTTCGGTTTTCTTTTCATTGAAGATTTCTACATCAATATTTATCAGTAAGTAGGGAAAAAATATCTGGAGTAAATCTAAATAGGAGCGGGGGAGGGGTGAGAGATATCTTTGTCTAATTTTATTTTTTGAGTCGATAGACCTTGAACTCACCATTGATAATAATAAAGAATGATACATCAATGGTGGATGTCTTAATTTATTTAATGAACATGAAGGGATTAGTTTTAGTGTCCAATCCCTTGTGGAGTTATTTTCTTGTCGTTAAATGTCTTTTAGCCGCCAATCTTTGTAAGAAAGTTATGTTTTTATAGTTAATATTGAAATCCTTAGGATAGATAATCACAAGAATTTGGAAACAAAGTCATCCAGGTTGTTAAGGATAAATAGAGGGCCTTTGATATACATGTTAGAAGACAGAGCAAGGCGCATGTTTTGCTCACCTTGGGGCAACAAAAACTCTTTTCTTTACTTCTGAAAAAGTTGATTAGATCTAAAAACTTTTACTTTGATGCACAAAATTCGAAGGATCACCACTAAAATAAATTCTTTATGTAATTGTGTGTCATAAACTCCATGAAGCCAAAATATTTGGTCCAAGAGAAAGAAATCCCCAAGTTGGGAAAGTCCATAAGGCCATCTTGAAAATACAATTATTGACCCCCATCAATTTGCATGAAAAAGGAAACTTAACTAGCTATTTAAGTGAGAGATTCCAAACTATTCTTTTAATGAATGCATTGGAGCATGGTAGACGGTCAAAAGGAATTGTTTGGAGCCCAAAATATACATCCAAACAATGAATTAACTGCGATTGAGAAATGTTTGAGATTGAAATTAGATCATGGAAGTGCCCACTTAATCCAGATTCTCCCACACAAAAAAGGGGGGCATTTGCATGAATACCACCCAATCGTTATGCCATTACATATTTAACACCTAACTTATGCATTTTACATTTATACCACCCAGATCCTTCATATCACATTAAAAAAAAAACACCATTTTAACTTTTAAAAAGTGAACTACACATTTTCATGCATAGGTAAGATGATATGTATTTTAAAATTGAAGTTTAGGTGTTAGACATGTAAACACATAGGAATTGAGTGGTACGTATAATCTTCCAAAAAATTATTATATGCATAATGTGCATCTCTGTTCACAGCTATAATTTCAATTTTGGATAACAAGAAATTTAGTGTTGAACGATTAGTAATAAAAATTATTGGACTTAAAGATTTTTAAAACACTACTTAGAATATCTAGGCCTAATGCTAAACATTTGCATTTTTCAGGCTTTTTAAAATAGGGGCATTTACATACATGCCACACAATTCTCATTGTATTTACATTCATATTACATGCACGCCATTCAAATATTTACCATCACATCAAAAATACCGCCACCATCATTATTTTTTTAAAAGTGAAATACACATTTTCATGCATAGGTTCATAACACCAATGTGTTACACGTGTAAATATCAAATTCTAAGTATTAGAAATGTAAATACATAAGCATTGTGTGGTATGTATGTAAATTTCTCAATAAAATATTGATTTTGTTAACATTTCAATTTTTTTTTTAGATATTTGAAAAATATCCTACCAAGATCAAGAACTACGGCATCTGGCTTCGCTACCAGAGCAGGACCGGCTACCACAACATGTACAAGGAGTACAGGGACACGACGTTCCGTCGAGCAAATGTACAACGAGATGGCGTCCCGCCACCGGGTTCGTTTCCCGTGCATTCAGATTATAAAGACTGCAACTATTCCCTCAAAGCTCTGTAAGCGCGAGAGCACGAAGCAGTTCCATGACTCGAAGATTAAGTTCCCTCTTGTGTTCAAGAAGGTGAGGCCCCCATCCAGGAAGCTCAAGACTACCTTCAAGGCTTCCAGGCCCAATCTCTTCATGTAGAGAAGGCTGGACTGGTTGGTTTCTTTTTGCATGAAGTTTACTGATGGGTTATGTTTTGAGTTTTAATTTGGTTGGATTTTGGTAATATTGCGATCCCAAACTTTTTGCAATTTTATATGTTATGTTCTGTTGTTTTTGAGTCATTTTGCTGTAGTCTGAATGTTTGCTATTGGTACTTTTGATATGGACCATTCAGAGCTTCTTCTGCAGTTTTGGGCGAATAGGGTATAGATATATGTATATGACTGCACACATTTTCAAATCAAAATTGGTTATTGTTACTGTTTGTAGGAATGTAAAATATTGCCTTTTCAATCTAGTAACAAATTCAATCATCACAGTCAAAAATAAAGAAATTATCTTAAAATTTTCAAATCATTTTTGCTCAAATTAAAATTTATAATGTTGAATTCACATTCAAAAAAAAAAATTAATATACATAAAGTGAATTCAACATTATGTTTCAATGCTGCATATTTTTTTATAGATTTTATTTTTCAGACAACTTTCATTGCTCCATTTCACTATAATTTTGTTGCTGCTTCTAAAAATGAGAAGCAGCTTTTTTTAAATAAAGCAATGGTAAAAAGGGAAAAAAAGTTTTTTTTTTTAAATTTTTTTATGCAGAAACATAAAATCCATCATATGATTCTTATGCTTTTTTGAACCTTTGAATGGATAATAATTTTAAATTTTTATGATTCTTATGCTTTTTTGAACCTTTCATATGATTCTTATGCTTTTTTGAACCTTTGAAGGAAAAAAAAAGTTTTTTTTTTAAATTTTTTTTATGCAGAAACATAAAATCCATCATATGATTCTTATGCAGCAATAGATAATAATTTTAAGTAGCTAAAAGAAATCTACTTAAATAAATTAATAAACATATAAAAAACAACACAACAAGATGGAGCTCAACTGATAACCTCATTAACTTTATGATAAAATACTATGGGCGTACATGATAGGTGCAGATTGGTGGTATTGGGATGGTCTTCAGGTAAATATCATCAATCTACAGATGCGGATGCCACACATAATATTCGCTCTCACTTTTACAGACAGCTTTACACATTTCAACGCCAACAAAAACCTGTAGAAAACTACAATTCTTTAGCAGAAATAGTCCTGAACAGCACCATAATTACAATTAAATCTGGAACAAACATAAATACTGTAGAAAAGAGCATGAGATCAACTTTTTTCTTAAATCTCGCATAGATAGATATCCTGTTGCTGCTAGTCGCTGCTAGTCGCTGCAATCTTGAATCTTGGAAACCCTGCAGTTCATTCTGAGCTTCATTTTCTTTTTCTACCTTCTGTGAGAAGTTACAAACAGCTCGCTCAGAAAACACAACACAAATGCAATACAAATTCAAGAGAAGGAAATATCATGCTACACTGAGAAAAAAGGATCAGCATCAGCAGCAACTTTTATCCTTTTTTAAGGAGCATTTACACACATACTGCATAATTATTACATTTATACATATGTAACACCTATACTTTCATATTTACTTGCATAGCATTCCAATCCTTAATATCATATAAAAAATATCACTATTATTTACTTTTCAAAAGTGAAAAACATTTTAAAAGTGAGATACACCTTTCCATGCTTATGTACCAAAGTTTTATAAATGTAAATATGCAAGTTTAGGTGCACATGCTTATGTACCGAAGTTTTATAAATGTATATATGAAAATGTAGGCGTAAGATATATAGATACATAACAACTGTGTGATTCGTATGAAATTTTCTTACTTAAAGGTATTGCATTGGGTGATAAGCCTATTTTGTATACATCTTTTCTCAAAACTTGTGCTCAAATAATCTTTTAACTAACTTTTTCTTTCATCTATAATAAACCTTTTTTCAATTAAAGAATAAGTTCTTAGGTTTTCTTTTAAGATTTCACGGTTCAAATCATGAAAGCTAATAAAACTAGCACAAAGACCAACTTGTGAGGAAAAGAACCATAGCTTCTACGTTAACACTTCCAACATGCCCAAAACAAATAGACTTATCGAGGAGACATTTTGTTAATTTTGGTTTATGCTGAATGAACAAATTATTAAGTGAAGGATTTAAATTTACTTAAATGTTAATCTTACTGAGTAATTCTGCTTATTTTGTTGGTTAGCATAGGAACGGAAAAGTATTCCTTAATTACATTCATGAAAACATTATATCTAATGATTAAAAAAACTAATCAATTTATGCTTCAAGTGAACGTATTAAATCTATCAAAGCATTAGTTTTATATGCCTGATAAAGTAAATCCTGTGCTTTGTTTCTACGTGAATGTACAGCAAAAAAAATCTAGCAAAAAGAATGAAAAATGCTTTTGCTTGGTCAAAAACCACTCTTAGCCAACAGCCTAATAGCAATAAATTCTAAATTAATAATTCCAGCTTCAAGAAAATGAATGGCTACCACTAAAAAGTAAAGATTAGATACGTTAATATTCAACCAAAAACCTTCTCTCTAGACAGTGCATACAAGCGTTAAGTTTGAAGGAGCCCATGCCCTTGAGCTTTTCAAATCCATTAAATTTTAAGATTACATTTGCGAACTCAATTATTATACTTGCATGTGATGTGCCTCATGTTCTTTACTACTCTCATCTAATGCTTCCTCCAACTCCACTATACCAATTCCCTTTGCTTTCACATCATAAAACACATCAACTCTCCCTCCCTCCCACTAGCTAGCACGCTCGTACGCACAATTGCATTGTGAACACACATCCATTTATTTCATACCAACCATTCCCTACCAATAACCCTTACAATTGCAAGTCAAAAAATTGAGAAATTGTAATTTATGTTTTCTTTATCTCATCTTCTCCATAATAATTCATTTCTGGATCTCATGTCCTCCCTTCTCCATTACCCTTGCTTCCAGCTGCCAGTCTCTTCCCCCTCTCCCCGTTTCCCGCTTGCCGCACAGCCAAAATTACCTCCAGTCCCAGACCAGACATGCCGCAACCCCTTTCCAAACCTTCCACGCCCTGCTGCAGCTCCCACCAACGCTTCCCATTACTGCAGCGCCCCTCTCCAACGCTCCAGCTGCAGTAATTTATGTTTTTGTTATCTCATCTTCTCCATAATAATTCATTTCTGGATCTCATATCCTCCCTTCTCCGGTACCCTTGCTTCCAGCTGCCAGTCTCTTCCCCCTCTCCCCGTTTCTTGCTTGCCGCACAGCCACAATTACCTCCAGTCCCAGTCCACAACCACTTTCCAAACCTTCCAAGCCCTGCTGCAGCTCCCACCAATCCTTCCCATTACTGCAGCGCCCCTCTCCAACGCTCCAGCTGCTATCGCATCACCCCAAGCAGTCAACACTAGTACTGACCAGACGGTGTCCACCCGTGCCACTCTCACCCTAGAGGGTGTTCGTGTGTTTTGTGTTGTTTTATTCTTATTTTGAAGAGTCGCCGTTGTAACCTTTGATTTCAATAATAATGTCATTGTTATTGTGGTTTGAGTTAACTCTTGTATCAGTTCCTTCCAGATCCAATGTCTCCTAATTCTTCTCTACATTATTTCTAGTGGTAAAACTTAACATGCAAACAATGCGAGCCGGACGCACAGCTATGCTGTATGCTGTACTTTATTTAGGAAAGCATTTGGAATTTGAATCTTCCCCAATTTCATATCAGCTCAAATTAGACAAAGCTTGATCAATAAGCAGGTTGGAATAGAAACATAGACAATCAATGATTAGGGATATGTCTTAAGTGATCAAATAAATTTCCAATGGCCATGAATTAGACAACATGTCGAGAGAATCTAAGAGATTGTGTTCTTCAATGTTTTAATGGCCCAAGAAAATTGCTTAAAGTGGTGATTCTCATATCACACAACTGAGATCAAATAAATATTTGTCAAGAATCCATAGGAGCAAATGAAGAGATCAAGGCTATAGAAGCTAGATAATTAGATCGAATTTTAAAATACAATAGATAATAAAGAAGTTGAATTTTTAAACTTCTTTGGACATTTATATAAAAATTAAAATTCGGTTTAGATAATTCCTCCATGAATTATCTTTTAGCTTGTAATTACACCTTTTCTTATATATAGGATGTCTTTCCTGGTGGAATTTAGTTATATGTGAAATAAAAAAACTACGTTCCCACAATCATTGCTTACAAAGAGGTTCAAAATTCAGGAAAAAATGAAATGAGAATTCTTCAAAGCTTTTTCTAAAGTTAATATCATTTTCCTCTTCTTCCTCTCCGTTGCAATGGTCCAGTCCAAAAGGCCTTATTCCAGTCCAAGGAAGGCCAGCCCCTTTGTTGCTGATTTTCCTTGAGCCGGAGCCGCTGTTCTTACGATGAGCCTGCTGTTGCTGCTTTGCCGCTTTTACAGCAAAACGGAACTCTGTACAGCCATTTATTACTTGCCAAGGAATGCAAAACACAAAAAAAGAACTACATGAGCCTGTTCTTTTCGTATTTTACCTACACGGGAGTATTAGTTGGAACAATGACATTTAGTGCATAAATAAGTTATATCAGCATGATTTTTTTCAAAAAGATCACATTCATTTGCTTGGATAAGAATCTTATTCAATCTACATATGATGGTACTGTTACTCCATAAATTCGAAACTCTCACCAGGTACCCAAGGAATTATAAGCTTAAAAGAGATGTACTAACTTGAACGACAGCAGTCTCGACAGTATCTACTTCCACAAAGACATTTAAAGGTCTTAATCGGATGTTCGAGGTCCTTAAAATCAATCCCATAATCCTGCAAATCAGTGTACATATAAGCAAAGAGCTTCCTTCAAAGACAATGCATGTAAAGTGTTAAACATAGCAGAAACCATAAACAAGCAAGAATTGTTTCAAAAAAAAAAAAGAAAAGAAAAAAAAGACATGCAATCAAGCAAGTTTGAATGTAAATACACATTCCCGCTAAAATATACATGCAAACAAATATGCATGTCGGAACCCTCTCAAGCGATCCATATGAATGCGCAAATGTACACGCAGAATCAAGTACAAAATATGTTTAAAGAATGAGAGAAACCATCTTTATTGGTGCTCCAATCAAGGTGAGGAATTCCAGGCATCGAATTAAAGAGTCCCAGCAAAATCTGATTACTGTAAATAAAATTAAAATCTCAATCTAAAGCTCAAACTTTAAGACACGTAACAAGACTTGTGCTAAGAAGACGGACAAGATAACTTCATAATTAGATCTCTTCAAAACTGCCAACATAACCACTTAGCTTGCAGAAAGTAAATCCGCCCAAGTTCACAAGTATTTTATTTTTGTCCTTAGGATTAGGCGTTTTTCATTACATAGATGATAATATGCAAATGTATTTCATCTGAAGATACAAATCATCCAACAATGCCATAAATTACGCGAAATTGTGAGACAAGCTACTTATGGCAGTCCACAACCATCCACTATCCTCTTTACCAAAAATTTAAAATGCCTTCGCGGTAACCTACCAAGTTATATGAGTACCACACATTCATCTACGTGTGAGGAACTTGTTATCATGCCCATTTGTATCAAATACAAAAAAAGTTGTAGAAAGGCATTTATAATGTGATACAAATTTAAATATAAGTGTTTAACTCATATTTCTAAATACTACCTTCAGCCAAAAATTTGCCTGTTCTGGCAAATTCTACTTCTTTGTAAACTATAGCTTGTATGATTAAGCTTAAAACACTTTAAACCAACACTTTGTTACAAAAGGGATATTCCACCTTTAGCCCGTTCTACCTACAAAACATATAAAGCAACTTCCTCCCTGATTCTACCATTGGCATTTGGAGCGCTCTTCATTATGACAACGACAGTCATGGCATCCAAAAATCCATTATAATCTTGTTTACAATACAATTCAATTAGCTAGCAAAAAAAAATTGTTGCAGCTTGTATTTAAAGCAAGACAATTTACTTTATTAAAAGAACCACAATTACCATAAAAATACGAAGAAAAAAAGAAACATAAAATGACAATTTAAAAATCACTTTGTCGCTACTCACCCATGTTAATTCCTCGAAAGCTTCCACCTTTCTTGCAGTAAAATAAGCGAGCTGCATATTTGGATGAATGAAAAATAAATCATTCTGCTATAACGAGAACTTTAGATAGGGCTGTCAAAAAAGCTCGTTGTTCGCGAACAGTTCGTGTTCGATTCGCCAGAGTGTTCGTGTTCGATTCGTTCGATAAGCAAACGAGACGAACACGAACAATTTTTTTCGTTCGGTTTGCTAAACGAACCAAACACGAACAGTGATTGTTCGAAATAAAAAAAAATTAAATAAATAAATAAATAAATATATATAATTTATGATATTTTTAAAATAATTATAAACTCAAAAAAATTAATATATTTTAAAATTTAAAATCTGTAAATTATAAAGTAAAATAAATTATTCATAAAAATAAATTTACATACTATTTAAACTCAAATAATATAAATATTATATATTTATATAATATTTGGTATATAATTTTTATAATATATTATATTATTATTTTTATATTATAATATATAAAAGAACGCTCATACGGGAAGCC